TGGCGCGTGTGCAAAGCTTGCTGCAGCGCGAAGAAGGGAGCGTACTGACAGCTGTTGCCATGTTCGCGGCGAACAAAGGCAGACAGCGTGAGTCAGCGATGCAGGCTCCCGCAATATCATATACTCTACATTAATATGTCATGTGCTATTCTTTATCATCTGTGTTATCCATATTGCATTTTAGTGTTACCCTGTCCTTTAGAAAGAAGAACAAAAGGAGAGAACCCTTCAGCAATTCAACTCACAAATACGAACGAAATGGTTGGAAGGTTACGTCCGTATATCATTCTGACGACATTCGTGATTGCATTCGTTATTTTCTTATTTCAATGCTACATGAAATCGGAGGACCACCGTATTGTTCGCCAGTTTGACATTCAGACATTTCTTGTGGATGGCGGCCGCACAAAAGTGAAGCGTCAGCAGCTGCCAAGTCTGGAGCAGCTAGACTGACCGCAAGTAGAATATTTGCCTCTTGCGTTGGGTGCTACAGGAGTCAATCAAACTCCTTGGGAAAAACAATTCGGTCGTAAACAGATGCGCACACAATGGAAACTATTCAGTACTTTTGAAGACGTCATGGAGGAATTGGGTTTGAATGACAAGGGGATGATCTCGGGTGGCAGCCTAGTTGGATCTTTACGCCACCACGATAACATACCCTCTGGGACGAGGACGTTGACGTTCCCGTTGATTTCAATGTGAGAGAGGCTTTCTGGAAGAAAATGTCTGAGCTGGCTCCCGAAATTATAATTCGAAAAGGTTTTCTCAGGGACAAGATCTACGCGAAGTTTATTGAACCAAGCAATATTTCTCTTGATGTCGAGGGGAGCCGCAAACTGTGTACCTGGTGTGGCTGGGGTTGGCCTTTTATTGATATCGGCTACTACACCTCCAGCGCAACCCACATCCAAGAGCGCGCCTCGTACGAGGGCGTTCAACCTACCCTTGCCAAGTCTAATGTTTTCCCCCTGATAATCCGGCCATTCTACAAGCACTGGGTCCCAGCGCCAAGAAACGTCTTTGCAGTTATTACGCAACCCAAGCCTGACAATGTCGACTGCTACACACCCGGATGGTCTCACGCATTTGAAACGCCCTTGCAGCGTCGTTCAATGCCATGCAACAAACTGGCGCACCGGTATGCTTTCGTTGAGCACAGCCCCCTTTACAAAAACGGCGAGCAGGACAATCTGTCAGACCTGGTGTGGCTCCGTGAGAGGCTTATTCTTGGTAACCGGAGCATTCACGAAATACGCCTGGTAGCACCCAGACAGGTGGCACACGTAGACACCTATGAAATGCGTGTGGTGAGGCTGTAGGCAAGAGTACGCCTCAGTGCACAGTACGATTCACACTGTTTGGGCAGCTTGACGAACAGGTTCTTGGTGCTTGTTAAAACTTCAGAATGAATTTTATTTTGTAATATGCCCTTCCTTGGTAAATATACCAATACCTGGTTCATATTTGCCTTCCTCTTAGTATGCACAGACCTCTTAAATTCTTAGATAAACATGTCGCATTAAAGGACGCGTGCTTATCTGTAACCACAAAGACTGAGATTGTTCCGTCTAATGGCAGCTACCTATTGGGAGGTATTTATTGCATGCAGGAGGCAAGATGCCGTGAGTTTATTGTTTGCTTGTACCGTGCGTACGGTAGCGGGTCTGTAGCGCAGTGATGCAGTGAAGGCAGTAATGAGCAACCCAAAAGATTACAAACTACTGCATCAGAAAAAGATTAAGCTAAAAGATGCATTCAGAGGAACATGGAGGTTAACATCTTATAGGCGATATTTCGACTATCGATTTCGATAATGTCCAAACCTCTTATAGGTAATAGTAGTTTTTGCAAGTTTGCAAAGTTTGTTTTTACGCAATACAGCAATGTAGTATAAGTATAAATGCACAGAAATATGTAGTTGAAGTAAGATTGATTTAAGGATTCGGTGCGGATTAAAGTAAGTAAGGCTGCCTCGAGGCACACCTACTATTAGCGGTTAAGATATCAGAATACGACTGAAAGTTACGTTATTCGCTTAAAAAAACACTTATAAATGAGGATAGGATGATAGTATTTGAGAAGGAACGTTACGATATTCTGTTTAAGATAAGAAGTGCAACTGTATCTGTAGATTAGCCGGTTTGATATTGGCTTAGCATTGGGCGTGAGTTTGAAAATTAAATGTTATAGGGTTCCCACAATTATTTGTATCTTTCAAACGTTAGATAATTCCTTGAAAATTTAATATTCAGCAAAAATGGTTAAGCAAACTTTGTAAACGATGTTTACTGTAATGCACACCTGTACAGATATAAGCGAAAACTCGACCTGCAAAAATCCGCGTCTGGGTTCCTGCTGGCTCGAAGCTCAGAGGGCAGGGGATTTAGCTCTAAGTATAATACGCCCCCACATGAACCCGATGGAGTTTGCTAAAGCTGCGGGAGTATCTCTCACATATTGTGGACATAATAAAAGCACACAGGTGCCCTCGCAAAAGAGAAGAACTGTGGAAACCCAAGTATTTTGGGGAAAATTTAAACGATTGTTTTTGCAAAATCTGTTGGTAAACCAAGACAAACTACAAAGAAATTCCCAAATAAACTGAATGGCGAAGGCCTAAAGGGTTACAAGTCTAATGTGAACCGGTATTTGCATGAATGTTCGGATGTGATGTTGTATCCTCGAAGTAAAATCCCTAGACTAACAGAAAAACAAAACAAACATAGGATGATCTTCGGTAAGGTAGTCAGGAGGTCGATACAGATCACCAAACTGATTTTAAGAGAGCTTTATGGTTTGTCTACTGGACGCCAACCAACTTCTTAAAGTGCCTACGCCGCCGGATGCTAGCCACGGACGTGACAGTGGCGACCGGTTTAGCAAACCCAGCTCTGCATAGACAGCTTGTCTCCCCTGGCCGACTACAGACAGAAATCGTACGTCGTCCAAAGCCACAGATAACAGTTAACCACATGCTGACCTAGAGACCTGAAATAGCCTACCCCGAGAGAATCCTCCCCTCGCACTCCGCATGCCATCCAGCTCAATACGCCGGCTTCGTCATACACGAGACGAGTCAACGAAAAGTTGACTACGCATCCTCCCAACACCGCGAAGACAATATAAAGTCTATCGGTAAAGAAGACATATGATCGAACACCGGAACGAATTGTATTTTATTCTGAGCTTTCGGGCTCCTGCAGAAGTCCATCGTCAGAGATGGAAAACCAACAACAAAGGAGGTGGCTAGTTCTGGCGTGTGCACAAAACAACTAAAATTTGAACGTGTAGGAAATCAATAATTGTGTTTGTGCCGCCGACTCGCCGCTGTGGACCATGTTAGCCTGTGCCAGTAGGCGACAACGGCATGTTGGGTGGGAATATTTACAGAAATAAAATCGTGAGAAAAAACAAGCAAAATTTATAGGGGAAGGGACAATTAAAAGTCATAGGAGAGGGGGGAAGAAAGGATGGTAATGTAAAAATTGATAACTGTTAGGCTTGGGCGCCAAATAACCACGTCAACACCGAAAATGGGGCAATTATGAAGGATGCTGCACCAATTAATTATGGCGGGCGTCTGGGTGTGATCCTTTATAATAGTGTAAGGCCCCGTACGCCGGCGCCAAGTCCACACATCTGTTGACAGAATTCTCATCCGTGGACCAGTCCATCTCTGACGATGGACTCCTGCAGCAGCCCGAAAGCTCAGAATAAAATACAATTCGTTCCGTTGCTCGATCATATGTCTTCTTTGCCGATAGAAATACCTGGAACGCGAACTATCTCTTGCATTCGTAAATATAAACCCTGTGTACAACTGACTTTCTCTTTCGCCATGCAACTGTACCCTCACGATGATGAATTGCCGAAAACGTATATTTGCCAACTGGACTTCCCAAATTAACATGGTCATATTTGTAAAATTCACTGTCTTATCTAAATATTTACAGAAAATGTCTGATTTTGAAGATTCTGATAAAAATATTGAACAGAATCGGCCTGTATTGAAAACATTATAAATTTAAGGTATTATTGAATTGCATATGATTCTTCCCATTAATCGGCAAGAGCATCAATAGTGTTGCAAAGAGTTCATTGCGCGACGCCCTGGGGGAATTTATGTGCGTCATATCTACCCAAATTGAATCATCCATGTTGTTCAACGCAGTCGTCGAAAGACTTTTTAGGTTTTATCCGGAGAATGCATTGGCTTTGATGGCTGCTGAAACGATTTTGACGAAGATATCTTAAAAAAGATATATTGAGGGATGCTGGATAGCAAGAAACGTTTGTGGTCCTCACATTATTGTCGGTTACCTTTCCGACTGTAGCGTTAGACAATGTTCGTGAACTCGAACTGCTGAGGAGCCGTTTATTGGCACGACACCATCCAGAATATCGTTGTAAATTATTCCACAAGT